TATTTTCTGAACCCATATCACCTTGTCTCTATCAATTGACGTTCAGTTAGATACACCTTAGACTATAGAGCCATATTTTAAAAGAACAACAATCCAATACCAGAAGATGATCCTAAATTCACTCCTCAAATTTGTGATGATATGTTATACTACTAAATAGACACTCTAGGGTTTTTTGTTGACGTTGTCGTTGTTGTTTGTTTTATGCCTGATATTGGAAAAGAGCTTAGTCAGTCTCTATCTTGTAATCATTAGGAATATATTCCTGCCAAACTATGTATTTCAAACAAAGCTCTGAGATTACACTCTTGTTGTTCTGTGCTGGCCCTGGAGCAAGTGTCCAAGGCAACATTAGTTTCTCTTTCTGGCCTATATTGACCCCATAGTCACTTTCCTATTTTAATAATCCAAGAATGACCAACATCTAACAGGCCTCAGTCATGAAGTATTATGGTTATGCTTAATTTATTTTACCTCTTCCTTTTTATTTTCTACCCCTCATATTTGGGGTGAGAGTGGGTCTTTGCGCTAATTTTCTCTCTGAAGGTCACTTCTGGTTGCAGCCTCCACATTGTGCCGTGATTAGTTTTACCTTCAGTGGAAGTGGTCTGAAATCCTCCTGCTCATTACCTCAATCTCCTTTCTGAGGTAGATGTTCCTTCCTCTCAAGTAAATCCTATTCTTAATTAAAGCAATACATTTGGACCATTAGCCATCTAAACTATTAAATACTCAAATACTGTTGACATGCTCAATATATTTGCAACCTAATGAGGTTATTATATCACCATGGAAGCAATTTATTAATGAAACGTAGCTATCTTACATGGTACTTTATGCCCAAGGCTTTGTTGAAGAATGATAGCTTTCCAGTAAGTGTAAGACCAGTTAAATTAGTGGAGAAGCCTGGGATTCACAAGTCTCAAGGTAACAAGGAAGGTGCCACCAACAATTTGGATGTCTTTCCTAATTATTGTAAAAAATCTCAGAATATCTGATTTGTCTCTCATTCAGGAAATAGAAACGATCTATGTATTATCTCAAGCAAATAATATAAAGAAGTTTTTTTAAAAAAAATCCCTGGCCTCTAAGAGTTTATAGTATTTGAAATATATTACCTGGAAAAATAACAATTAAAAAAAAATTTAAGAAGCATTAGTGGTGGGGTGGGCGTGGTGGCTCACACCTATTATCCCAGCACTTTGGGAGGGGTATGTGTTGTCTGCATTATAAGTGAATTGACAAAGGATCTGCAGGAAAACATGCAGATTCATGAAGGAGCAGCTTTTAGCTGAGCCTTACAGGAGATGCAAAATTTCAGCTGGTGAAGGCTTGGTCCAGGGTGAGGTGTGTGGTGGGGAGAGACTGGCATTGTCATGGTACCCTGAGTGATATACAAGGCTAAGAGGTTAGGAGAGGCAGAAAACAGGAAAGTTTGTTTGCCAAAACTACAAATTCCAATCCACTGACACATTGTTAGTAAAGTTAAAATAAAATGAAATAAAAGACTAAGAGCAAAGGAAAAACTACAGAATATGAGTAGATGTTTCTGACTCAAGACAACAAAAAAGGATGTGATTCAAAAGTTAAAGATGCAAAGAACCATATTAGACCTTTGTGTAACTATATAAAGAGTGAATCACTGATAGCAATGACTGATCACTACATGCACGTAAAATATACATAAAGTGAAATACAGCAGAAATTTCTACTAGTGCTAGGGTATACTAGTGTTAATCCTTACTGAGCACTGACTAGGTGACAGGAGCTGTCCTTTACATGCACTATTACAAGTAATCCACACAGTGATCCAGCTGGGCAGGCTTTATTAACCCCATTATACAAGAGGAAGCCAGGGTTCAAAGAAGTTAAATAATCTGAGCTCATTTGCACTCCTACTGTGCAGTAGAGTCTGAATCTGATAGCAGCTTTTTCTGGAGGCCATTCTCTTTACCCCATGCCAAACCAGAAGGATGTATATTTCAAAAGGAATTCAAGTGGATTCAAGGATACCTCTATGGTAATGTAACCATCATTAGTTGTAATACGCTGTCATGAATGATCTGGAACTGGAGATACAGCCAACACTCCATAAATGAGGTATAAAATCTTGGGAGTGTGTTACAGCCCATGAGACCATCACTGGCATGTTAGTGATAATAGCTGATGGGCAGGAGTAAATTGTCCCTAAGGTTAAGCTCTGGATCAGTCATTTAATAGAAATCAGTGGTAAGAACATGTATTTTAGAAACAGATGGCCTTGATTCACAAATTGGAATTCTGTTATGTACTAGTTATATGGAAAACCCTGGACAGACGACTTTACAATCTGTTTCCACATATAGTCAGTATGGCAAGTTAACAATAAATGTATACAGAAAAAAAGAAAGAATTAGCTTTAGATAATGAAAAAGGTATATCATTAAGACTAAGGAGGCTGATTTCATTCAGGCACTAACTTAGTTGTATAGTCTTTGGCAAGTCAGGAACTCTAAACTTCCCTCTTCTGTAAAATATGGATGGCACCATCTACCTTAGGGGTTTGTTGCAAGAACCTGAAATAATGTGTATTAGTTATTTAGTATGCAGCTAGACTATGTTATAGGGATATATCATATTAAATCATTAACACATTTCTTGGAAAAATAAGTATAGTTTCTACCTCACTTCATTTTAAACTTGGGCTCACTCTATTACAATGCTATATAGGTGACTGTAACTTAAGAAAACTATAGACTTTTTTTTTTTTTTTTTTTTTTTTTTGATACAGAGTTTCGCTCTTGTTACTCAGGCTAGAGTGCAATGGCACCATCTCAGCTCACCGCAACCTCCGCCTCCTGGGTTCAAGCAATTCTCCTGCCTCAGCCTCCCAAGTAGCTGGGACTACAGGCATGCGCCACCATGCCCAGCTAATTTTTGTATTTTTAGTAGAGATGGGGTTTCACCATGTTGACCAGGATGGTCTCGATTTCTTGACTTCGTGATCCACTGCCTCAGCCTCCCAAAGTGCTGGGATTATAGGCGTGAGCCACCGCGCACGGCCAGAAAACCATAGACTATTAAAAAATCATAACAATTTGGTAAAAACTGAACACTTGGGAATTAAGCATATTTCTAACTTTGTATTGTTTTTAAAAGATAAACTTCATGGAAATAAAGTGTAACATTTTCATTCATTTATCTTACAGCTCCTAATGCATTATTTTCTCTAAAAGCATTCCCTTTTAAAAACACATTTCATTAAAGTTCTTATTCAGAAATAGATTAGTACTATTAATAAAGGCTTTGATGATTTTATTAACAAGAAAATTGTTAAATATGCTTGGTATATGTGATACAGTTGTTGGGTCGATGAGCCCTATCTGTGGCCAATCTATTATGTGAACCATGGAAAACACTCATCTTTGCAAAACTGCCCTACATCCCCCTCAAAGGAAACAAACTGACCCCAAGACAGAATTTTGGTTAATCACTCCAGAGTAAAGCAAATCAGTGATACCATTGGCCTTCCATATTTAAGCAAGTCATACGAAATACAAATATCATAGACTAGAGCTGTATAAATTTAATGTATCTTTGTTCACACACTCAACACACTTTATGAATCTGAGCAAGTTTTGTGTAGTTCTGATTACGTTTTGGGTTTTCAACAAATTATTTTAAAATAAACAGAATGTATACATGTATAAAACTGACTCTGGCGAATTTGCAGCATTGTGCTAACCAAGAGGACTATTCCACTTTTACTCCTTTTTCGTCTAAATGGCATCTTAATCACCTGCCCACGCTGAAGCCTCATCCACGCTTTGAGAAACCACCACGTACCTGACCAGAAACGTTACTGTTGGTTAAGGCTACATTTCTCACCCTACCGCGAAAGAAGTATGTGACTTAAACAGGGCTGCGATTTCCTTTACCTATTCCTTCCCTCAAAGGCTGTTTTAAATGGAGGTAATTGAAGCCTCCCCGTGCCAAACGCCGCGACTCCCACAAAGATGGACTGGTTCTTATTTTTTACTTTAAGTAGGATGGGAAACTGAAAATGTTTCCTAACGTTTGCTGGGGCTTTAGCATGCTTAAGGAATTTGAAACCAAGGGAAGTTTAGCCCTAACACTCTGAAATATCCGCATTAGGATGCAGGCTAGGTGTCCAGCTATTGCAAAACTACGGAGGGTGCGAGGTATGGAAGAAAGTATTTGGACTCTGCTGTATACCGGGCAGGCGTGGGGGGTAGGGGTGGGGAGGGAATAATTGGCTGAGGGAGAAAAGAAAGGCATTCGCGTCCGCAGAACACATCCTAAGGTTCCTGAGTTGCTAACTCCATCCCTAATCATCCCGTTGGTGGGAACCGGCTGGAAAGGGAAAGATCAGCGAGCCTCGGTGTGGGACGAAGGCAGCGGTCTTGGCCTCAATCGCTGGCCTACACACCTGGGTTCTGAGGCCCGCCGGATAGAGCTAAACCCCCTCCCCTCCGGTCCTGCAGGTGAGCCCACGGTGCTCTCTCGTTTCTTCCAGAGACCTTCAAATTCCTCTCCCTCCCCAAAAGTCCTAACTCCCAGGGTTCGGAGGTGGCAGCGGGGTGAGAGACCGGAAAGGACAGGCCCCGGGGTCTCAGGGATTTTCGAGGTAGGAAAGAACGACGATCGCCCCGGCCACGGACACGTTTTTCTGTCGCAAACCGCTCCCCGCCTCCATGCCCAGTCCGCAGGACCTGACGCGGCCGCGCGGTGCTGGGCTCCAGGCTGGGGTCCTCGCGCGGCCGCCGGGGCTGGCGTGGATTGGGTGGGGTAGGGGTTGGCGGGCTCCTGAGCCGCAGCCGCGGATGATTCTCGGCCCCACAAGCCGGGCGGGCAACCACATTCTGCCTGTCTGAGAGCCGGGAGAAGGCAGGGACGCAAGCAAGCGGGGGCGAGTCCCGGTCCGGCGCGCCCAGAGGACCGAGCGGGTGGCCCTCTGCGGGCTGCCCCTCTCCATCCCTCCGCGGATCCCCCGCCCTTACCTCGGGGCGCGAGGGTGCCGGCTGGAGAGGGTGCTGGGGAGCGACGAGCTGCCCGAGGGTCGGGCTCAGCGGCTGCCAGCGACGGCGGGGTCGCCCGCGGGGCCGCTGCTCATGGCTTGTCGCGCCCGAGCACTGCGGCCACGGCCACGGCAGCGCCCTCGTCCTCGTCCTCTTCGCGGGCTTCCAGCTGGGACGCAGCTAACGCCCCAGCCCCGCAAGCCCTCCTCCCCTCCGCCTCCCCGGCCGCGGACGGAGCCGCCTCCAGCACCGCCCCGCGCGCAGCCGGGCCAGCGGCAGCCAGCGCCGCCCAGCGCCCGGCCCCGGGGTCGCCGCCGCCCTCCGAGCCGGCTCCGCGGTGCCAGCCCCGCTGTGACGCAGGCCGCGGTGCCCGGGAACTTCCTCCCCTGTAGAGACCACCCCGCACCCAGGACCCGCCAGCGAGGGCTGCTGCCAGCCGCCAGGGGCTTTCTCCGGGACCTGGAGAGAAATCCTCTCTCCGCTTCTCGACGCAGCCACTCCCTGAGAAGCCCACCTGGCGGGCTCTGCGTGGGGGAGGGGGGATTCGGCTGCGTCTACACCACCTCCACCCCTCATCCCTAACAATACACGGAAAACCACAGGCGGCTGTGCGCGCCGCGTCGGCTCAGCCACCGCGGCTCCTCCCCTGGGTAAGTTAGAGGGGAGCGCCACCACTAAAAATAGCCCTTCTGGGAACTCCTCCGAAGGCCAGGGTCAGGATGAAGGTAACCCCTCCACGTGAGAAGCGAAGGCCTCCTCAGAGAAGGGGTGGGGAGGGGGACGGCGGGGTACACTGAGGAAGATGGAGAAGAAGAAAAGCAAAACCCAATGTTCCTGGATCATGAAGCCCTTGAGCTCCTTGACAACCGAGTCTCCTTTCAGGCCGGAATCCCCAACTACACCGCCCCTGCAAGACTGGCTGAGCGGCAGATTCCAGGGAGACTCAGTTGGAATGCCCTGCCTACAGCTCCCGCATAAAGGAGTTGATGGTGCACAGCAAAACCACCTGTTGTTTAACGAGTATGGGGGAGGGGTTTCCCTCATTGATCTTAACCGTGCTTTTCTTCTCCCCATTTTCCCACCCAATTTCAGGATGAAAAAGCAAACTCTGACGTCTTGAAAGCTGGCAGCTTTCTGGATGGAAAACCTCTGCCAGTGAAAAAAATGTACAGACAAGATTACTAAGTAACACAATATTCCGGGAATGCCTTATCAATGCCAGCTATTTGAAGAGCACCCAAAGTCAAACTAGTGCCCAGCCCTGGCAGTCTGGAACAGACAGATGTATGTGAGTAGAGAAACTGATAGACACCTAGTCGCTGGCCACTTGGCCTGTTTTCATACTACAAGCCTTCAGAAAACAGTTGCCGCCTTTTGCCATGTTCTATTTCTAAACATAAATGAAAAGGACGTTTGTTCAAAAGATGGTCTCTTGGGCTTTACATTGCTTTCCCCTGCTCACTCAACAAAATCCTACCCTTTTCTTCAATTCCAGTGCCGCTGTTGGATGTCCTTCCCAGAAGACAGCCTTAACTCTCTTAGGCCTTAGGAGCTGAATCTAACACCAGTCTTAATTAACCTAGAACAAGACAAAAATTTAGGTCGGGACATACCTTCTAGTCAGCAGATGGATAAATTCCTAGAGAGCGTCTGGGAAAAAGGCAAAGCCTAACTTTAGCAGTTTGCTTTAAAAAAATAAAATAAAATTCAAGTACTTTGTAAGTCACCAGGGTAGATACAGCAATACTCTCTGAAGTAGCTTTACCTTTTCAAGTCTTTTACCTTACCTGAGGCAAGTACTAAGGTCACAACCCTCCTGTGGATGGCCTTATTCTGCAAGAGCTCTCTGATACACTTCCATCTTTCTACCATTGGCACCTGACCACAAGCTTAGGCATCCCTGACATGCTTCCTTGCTACCCAGTGTCAAGGAACCATTGAACCTTAAACTTTGTACATAGGTGAACCAGGCTTCAATCTCTACTTTTCCAGTTTAAACTTAGGAAATGTACTGTTCTTTATCTGCTCCCCCTCCATCCCTTTGTCATCAGTATAGATATAGTACTACAGGATGCTGTGAGAATTAGCTAACATGCTCAAAGCACCCAGAATAGTGCCAAGCACTTTATAAGTACTCAATAAATGAGAGCTACTATTGTACTTACTATTCTTCATTGAAAGCAAAAGAACCAGGAATAGCAAAAGATTTGGAAATCTGGGATCCGAATCCCCTGCAAGTTGAGTCCACCCCAGGTTGCTCTATTGCAATACTTTTGGCTAATTCTAATAGGATCAGCTGCGTAGTTCTTCACGTGTAGGTCGGTGATTCACGTGTACATTAATGCTTCAAAGCTACTAATCTAAAAACTGCTGTGCTACACTATTTAGTTCACCTTTTCTTATTTTGTAGCATGTAAACCTTAAATCTAGTCATCTCACCTCAGTCTACCTAATTCATATCAACACCCATATGTATCAAGCTCTCTGTAAGGAACTAGGCAAATTAGCAATCAGTCAACTTAAGTGAGGGTCTTAAAGAAGTACAAGGCTTATTATCTGACTTCAGGGTGTTTATAGTTCATGGGAGAGAGAATCAGGCATACACACCAACCAGAATAAATCATTTTGAACCAAATGTGCTTGAAGTTCAGCACATCTCCAGAAGGGAGAGGGCACTGTAAGCTGGATGAACTGGGTATACAGTCTCCGTCTTGACCTTTCACTTTATCCCCAATCTTTAGGCTACATTTTGACATTCTAGCTGGACTTCCAGAGTGAGTAGCTCCCACACTAAAGACTCTGCATAATTACAAGTTAATCATGTACAGGTTGGTGAAAGGGAGCAGAAGTTGATCTTTCTGGGCTATGCAGAGCCATGGTAAGGGATTTGGAATGAAATAGGTCTAGGCTTAAATCTTGCTTTGCTAGCTATGAACTTCAGTTTCCTCAACTGTCTATTGGAATATAGCTACTTTTTAGGGTTGTGGTGAGACTTAGAATATCTATAACCCCTCTAGTGGGTTGTATGGAAACAGCAATTATGTTACATTGTTTTGTTGTTAGCTGCAAAAAAACACAGGCTGGGCTGAGCTGTTCTTTGAAGGCATAATTAATTTTTTTTTTTTTCTGAGACAAAGTCTCACTCTGTCACTCCACTCTTGAGTGGAGTGCAGTGGTGCCATCTTCACCCACTGCAACATCCGCCTCTTGGGTTCAAGCGATTCTCCAGCCTCAGCCTCCTGAGTAGCTGGGATTATAGGCACCTGCCACCACATCCAGCTAATTTTTAAAATTTTTTAAATAGAGATGGGTTTTTGCCATGTTAGCCAGGCTGCTCTCCAACTCCTGATCTCAGGTGATCCACCTGCCTTGGCCTTCCAAAGTGCTGGGATTATAGGCATGAGCCACCACGCCCAACCTGAAGGCACATTTTAAGTCACCGTCTCTATGAGGCCTCCACAGGTTCTAGGCACCTGTGACTCTTCCCTCCTTGTGTTGACCACAGCACTTACGGTATGCTCCCATTTGTCTCTTTCCATGCCTTTTCACTACAGAGTCTGGGAGCCTCTCCAGGGCAGAGCTGTATCTTGATTCACTTTTATGTCCATTATCAACACCCTGCACACCTGATGTTAAATATTGAAAGAATGAGTTTTTAAATGTTTCGATTTCTTGTACTGGTTCTGACTTTCAATATAAGTCTTATTATACTACAAGCTCTAAAACTTGAACCCTTTAGCTCATAAAGAATTCATACTAAATTTATGTATTATGTATATGTATCTACTTAAACCTTGATGTTGTCAATGCTGGGATTGTTCTTTCAGACCAGCCTGCTATTCTTGTTTTGTTTTACATTTGATTCTAGTTGATCCTGCCTGGTAAGAATGCAAGTAAAATCTACATTCTAAATTAAAACCACCAGCAGGATTTTACACTGCATTATCTATCCACCCTATGCACATCTGCTCCCCAGACCACTTCTGAGCTTTGGGAAAAGAAGCTGAGCTAAAAGAAAACATTGCTGTTTTAAGTTTCAGCTGTTTACACTGTTGCAACCATTAGCACTTTCTGAACTAATACCTGCAGAATAAATGCTACCCTTAGCAACAGTTTTGAAATCCTTGACTCTATGCCATTAAAAATGCTAAGTTGGGGAGAATAAAACCTTCCTTAGAAAATGTCCTTTGTGCAGAAAATTGCCTGAGAGATAATGTTGTCAAATGTTGACTTGACCCTAAAATGGCAGTTGAATTTGTACCAGAGGAGATGGTGGTCTACTGGGGCTAAAAATGGTACCCCAAAGTAAAGGACTAAAAAGCAGCCTCAGAAGCAAAGTCTCTCTCTGACTTTCTCCTGCCCTCCTGTCTTTCATTCTCTCATTCTCCCTTGAAGCAAGCCATAGAAACTGGATTCCTTCTTCCCTGAGGTGGGGCATATAAACCAGAACCTTTTCCCCAAAACCAGCCATAAAGCCTAAAAATTTTACTCTAAACTTCTCCTTCCCTTCCCTTTCCCTTTCTCGCTAACTGCTGACCATAAAGAAATTAAGACCCTCATTCCAGGGGCATTCTACTCCATACCTGGGAGGAAGGAATATCATACAGAAAGGCCAAGAAGAATCTGAACAGACAGGCCTTGCTGGGTTTCCCCATTCAGTCTATTAGCACTGGATCATACCCTTTTTGTCTAATCATATTTCTACACAGCTTTCCATACTTCACTGAACCTAAGCATAAAAATGGGCTGAGAGTAGGTGGCTCATACCTGTAACCTCAGCATTTTGGGAGGCTGAGGTGGAACATCGCTTGAGCCCAGAAGTTACAGGTTACAGTGAGCTATGATCATGCCATTGCACTCCAGCCTGAACTACATAATGAGACCATGAATCGAAAATAATAATAATAATAATAATAATAATAATAATAAAAGAATAGTTGCCCCCCTATCTTTGGGTCTTCATTCTGAAGACTCCAGAGTCACATAAAACTATGATCAAATACATTTGTTGTGCTTTTCTGTTGTTAATTTGCCTTTGTTAGAGGGTGTCAGCTGTTATGATAGGAAAGGATCACCCCTTTTTGCTCCCTACAGTACCAAGGACTGAAAAATAGGATTCTATAAAACTTTAAATCAGATTATTCTAAAACCAACCTTATTTATTTTACCACACTAAGACAGAATTATTTGGTCCCACTAACTTGTGAAATTTTTTTGGGAAATAGTAAAGAAATAACATTTATGAGGTACACACTGTGTGCTAAATGCAGGTTGAATATCTGTTACCCAAAATGCTTGGGACCAGAAGTGTTTTAGATTTCAGATTTTGAATATTTGCACTACACTTAGTTACCAGTTGAGCATCCCAAATTTAAAAATCTAAAATGCTTCAATGAGAATTTCCTTTAAGCATCATGTCAGTTTCAGAAAATTTGGAGCACCTCAGATTTGGGATGCTCAATTTGTGCTAGCTTTATATGCATTGTCTCATTTATTCACCATAGTTATCATTACATAGGCAGTATTGTTTTCTCCTATTGACAGACAAGAAAAACAGAGGCCCATTGTAATCCAGTAGCTAGCCAAAGGTCACATGACCATTGAGAAGAGGAGCTGGGATTTGGGCGAAGGCAAGTCTAATTTCAGGGTTCTCATGCTTGCTTACTATTTAATCCTATAGGAAAGGGGTATTTATTTTTAAATGGAACCCATCAGTTATTTCAGTAAGGTTAATAACGTACTTTTTCAGTATTTCAAAATTGCATTCTCTTGTGCTTTTTCCACGAGTGCACTTGTATGCCATATGTACCTTCATGAGTTGGCTTTACAGCTTTCTCTAATTGAAAAGCACTCTATGACTGAAAGCAAAGTTTTTAATGAAAGATCATAATGTATCTGTGGCTCTGAGTCAAGGTAACATGAACTATACCAGACAGGGAGTCTCGTTCTTAGAATTATTGTTCAGATGGGCCAAGGATAGATAAGTAACTTTAACATGAGAAATATTATCATATTGTGATATAATAAGAAATATGTGTTTTGGTCTTTGTCTATGGTTCCTAGCTCATGGCTTCTAAAAGTCTTGTAATTGCCTCAGCAATTAAAGCCATAGGATCATTTTTTATTATGTTTGAATTTTGTTTTTAATTCCTGAAATAGATCCAAATAAAGATCAAAATGTGTTTTTTGTTACTCATAGGAAGTCCCCTTCAACCACACCTGGGTTTACGTTAATGAAGCAATTTTTGGAAAGCCCCTAGATAACTGCAGGATGGGAGCTGGTTGCCATGGAAACTTAAACATACGTGTGTGTGTGTGTGTGTGTGTGTGTGTGTGTGTGTAGACTAGAGGGTTGGAATTTTTAGCCCTACCTGGACCTTTGACTGTTTGGGAGGGAGGAGGAACTGGAAACTGACTGAATTACCA